GGGGGGGGTTGCGCAAAGTGGCAGGGGTTGGGACATACACGAAGATGGGTGGTTGGGTGGTGTGGCTATCAAATATGCTGGGACAGATGCAAAGTCTCACAGTAGTTTGCCATTCTCACTCGACCGTTTTTCTCGGCTTCATACGTACCCTACTTGTTTCCTTTTTTCTCATTTTTCTTCCTTTGATATTTCTTCGCTACTTTACACCCTCCTACTTACGCGTGGTACACACGGTGGTCTAACGGTCATTTGCCAATTTGCCATTCCTGCTACTTTACCACGGCATGGAGGAAAGTTTTTCCTAGTTGTGTATTAAATCGCCGAGAATAACACGAACGAGTCGTGCTGCTGTTGTGCGGTGGACAATACGCTACGTATCTAGTGGGATTCCCGCTAGGGTCGCCACTGTCGCACGCACCTGACGACTTTTAAATTTTATGACGAATTTCTTGTCTCGCGTTTACTGTGTTGCTGGAAAATAATTACGAGAATCAAAATCGTCGCACAAATCTCCGTACAGCCCTCGTGGAAATTAAACGGAATATATATGCGATTTGTTTTCGGAGGTTCTGATCTTGGCTCTCAGAGCTTCGTCAGCGAGTACGTCACGTGGTCCTAGATGGCGTCACCGTCGCTCACAACGCACGAGACAACGCTTACGCTCGACCTCTATACTCACGAAGACTAATCGCTTAGTCAACTTATTCTTTGCTTTGCGTTCCTTCGTGAGTCATTTTTCAGTGTACGTAAAAAAAAAAAAGATTAACCGCGTGCTTATATCTACGAGTGACAGTCGTGTCGCGAATTCAATGTTCACTTTCTGTGAATTGTATTTCTATCTTAGAATACTTTTTTTCCCCTCTTACGCAGTGGATCTCCATAAGCAAAGTTGCTCATTCCCAATGCCTTTCTTTACCAAAGGTAAACGTTTGTTAAATCAGTGTGAATCAAAAGTGCATTAGGATTTGATTTTGGCAAAAGAGCCTTAGGAATTGAGAAATTTTGCTACCGATCGATAACGTGTCAATTCCCGGCACCTTGCAAAACTTTCACGGAAGACCTTTACCAAGTCTTCGACTATTTCGCCTTTAAATATCTTATGTATTACGTTGGCAAAAGTTCTCACCTACTTCCGTCGAGCAACATCCGTCTTCTCTTCGTTCGCCTCTGACCTGGCAAGTATTTAGGCATCTACCGGACAAGTCCTCACGCTCTATTCTTTTTGACAATCGAACTCTCAACTTTCAACGTGGTTCACGCCCAACTTACTCACGTCCCTTGGCAACTTCAGGCAACGCGATAGCGTCCCTAAGCCAGTAAGCCGTACCCCGTAAGTTCGGAGTTTTGATACCTAGCCTCAAAGTGATCATAGCGGAATCTTAGAGCACCGTGAGACCTTTGCCTGGTCAGGAAACCCAAGGGGGTCTGTCTTACAGTCTAGAGGGAAGAAGTTGCCAATGTGGGCTGGTAAGAGGACGCCTTGGACGCCGTCGAATTAATTATGCAAGAAAAGCGACGATCGATGGATGAACGTGTCTCCGTGAAATATTAATGAGGAACGAGCCACCCCCTCGGTACGTTACTACTTCGTTTCTGCTACCATCATCCTACCCCCTCCTTTACCACTTACGTTTAGTTTCCTTAGCCAGTTCAAATCCTGCGACTTATGCCGAACCCCTCCCCTCCTCCCCAGCACCATCCTGGACTTTTCGTGCTCTGTGACGACGTTCTCAATCGAAATTCTTACCAACTCTCACGCGCACATGCATATGTTGGGGCAACCCACCCGTCGACGCGCGGGAGACGCTTGCCGTCGATGATATTAATTTTTGTTATTGGAAACCATATATGGACATTGTTTTAAAGGTATTTTCGTACGATCGATTGGCTTTCGGGAATGTTGGACTAGTATGACTTTTTTTTTTATTTTCCTATTTGAATCCATCTGTGGGTAACAGTGTACGCGCAGAAACATATAACTCGCTACGTTTTTTCGTTTCGTTACGGCATAGTCATTAATTGCCTGTGCCTGACGTGGATGCTTGTCGCTAAATTATACCTTTTCGTAATGTATTATTCGTCGTCGGGTTGGATCCTCTTATATTTATTACTGCTTTATTATCATGACGTATAAAATTTCTTTATGAAGACTCGAAGTTGTCCGATTTTTAAATATTGTTTTCAGTTTCAAGCACCGATACTATCGACGGCATTAATTAGGTTAGAGTCGTGTACGTCTCTTTAAAGTTCTCACCACGTAACGCGCGAATAAATGGCGGGAAATATTTTGAAAAATGTACACAAGGCAAACAATATAATACGCCCATAAAACATAAGTACGAACATAGTATAATGTGTCCATGAACATCGTCTCGAAGCGTCACAGCTCCTAACGGATAATTTATTCACGTGAAAAGTAAATGATCAACGAGAGAAAAAGAAACAATAGTTGAACAATTTCGCCTCGATCTTTTTTTTTTATCCAAAAATTACCGCTTTCATTCGTTCCCTCAATTTCCAGGACTTTCTCGTATTGACACGAGCGAGTAAACGTAACGCATAACCTATTTTACTAGAATCATGTGTCAACTTTGCGTGAGGACACACAACGAGGATTAACTAAACAAAGAAAAAAAATAAAGCGTTGACCCCAAAAACTAGGTGGACGTAGACGCGTGCTAAATATTTGTATCTCTCGACAGAACTATATTTTTCATCTATAAGTAACAAAGCGTGCAACGGATGTTAGAACAATCAAATTCAAAATACAATTTTACAAATAAAACTCACCAGTTACGCCAGTCAATCAATCAAGACATTTTCTTAGTATCTCATTTCGCAGTCATTTTCATTCTTTGATTTTTGCATACAGTCAGATCTTTCTTTAGCACCCCCCCCCTCCTCCCCCGGTTCCTCTACCCACCGTTCGCGGGATTACATCCCCACCCCTCCATGTCCCTGAAACCCAATGTGCCTCCCCCCCCCACCTCCCGACCACCCTTTCTATCTCACTGTTGTACACCTCCACTAGGCACTTCCGGTCGTTCACCCCATCCGGACATCGACCGTTGATGGTACCCTTCTTCATCTTGGAATTACCACTTCTCAGGGTCAGATAGACCCACGCTTTACTGCACGCTGCAAGGATCATTGTCATTCTTATTATTTTCACGATGATCCTCAGCATTACTCTTGGCAGCGTCCCCGACGTTTAAATGACTTGCCGCCATTTTGTTCAAAGAATCGATTATGGACTAGTTCGATTTATTTGGTTAATCAGCTGTTTGATTGATCGTCTCGCTACTTAACGTTGCCTAACAAGAGGTAGATTTAGGTTAGGTCCTTGGGTAATTGTTACGTAAGCTTATACAACTCTATGCTTTGTATATAGTTCGTGACTGTTATGACGTCTTTGGAAGATCGTTTCTGGAACTTGGATATTAATTGACGGCGGTTGATTAATAATTCAGTTACACGTGGTTCAAATCCATAGAGGTTTCCGTGATCGTAGTCAGATTAGTATCTATGGGCTCTGCAGCCACGGCGGCGCTATGGTAAATAGGTTAACCGGTGAGACAATAACGAAGAACGGCGAGTGTCCGTGAGGATTAAATGACGTTTGCTTTTGACTATGATGAGTGTCGACGTACAGGCATTTACGCTCTTGATCTTCCTATATAGACGTTAGATATAACCAACATTCTTACTTTCTCATCACATACAAAGTATGTAAAAAAGTATTGCAATCCAAAAAAAAAAATCGACTCCCAGATTTTGATGGAAATACATGTTTTGAGGGTCCTAGATTCCAAAAAAAGCATTCACTCATTTATGTCTGTCTGTGGTAAATTCTGTCCAAAAACACATTAACTTTCCAAAAAGGCTACGGATCACAATGAAATTTGTTGTGTGTCTTCTGTGTATAAAATGTAGTTTTGGTATTGTAATTGACACCAAAACACCAATCCGTTCTGGCACTTTACCTGAAATATGAAAAATAAAAAAAATTATTTCTGTCGAGGGACTGATTAAAAAATTAGTATGCTCTAGTCTGCGGTGTAAAGATATACTTAGATGCATGTAGCAAACACAAATTGAGTTATTCAGTACAGGGATGCCTTCATTATCTAATGCTGTCCTTGAAATAAAATAAATTATTAGTTATTTTACAGTGCACTGTACAATCATCGTATGAAATATGTAACTTGTTATACGCATACTCTAAAAGCAGTCATATTCCACAGGCTTTAAGGAGCCCATCGGATCTTCCCCTAGAAAAAAAAAACTAACAGAAAAATATAAAAGATTGATTTATTTGCAAAATCACAAAGCTCTTAAATATTACACCAAAAGTCTTCACCTCGAGATAACCTCAAACACTCGTTCCACATGTTACAAATATAATTACGCGTTGACCAAGTTATTGTTCATTTTAATATATTTTATGATTATATGTAGTCACTGATGATTAACAAAACACTTTAACGTATAGCAAATTGCAGGTAAATATCGATTAATTGCACTCGCGAAATAATAATAAACACACGCAAACTGTCACGCACGGCTCCCGGACTGCTGTAACCCACTGTATCTTCACCATGGAGAGAGAGAGAGACCATAGACATATAAGAACAGACCACGCGAGAGACACATAGACCGGTGCGTGAGTGGCTGTGACTGCTGGATAGAAAGAGAACACTGCACAAATTTCTTAAACCCAATGCCGGTTACAAATAGATAGAAAGAGGTCTAAATGCTGCTGTCTCTTTTTATTTTGAGCAGTTTTATGAGAGCCAATAGAAAAGTCTCCTCGGTATATGTCAATATCTAGACGCAGATACAATAGATACAACTCGATAAAAAACTGACTAAACTAAAAGAATTCTCTATTTCAACTCTACATCACTCAATTCTTAACATCAGGTAATTTCACAACCGTAACGTGATGCCAGTAACAATTATGATGAGAAAGTCACGTGTTGCGATCACGACAGTAGCAACTGATTCGCACCATTTTTTTTAGAGGTTGGTCAACCGTAACGTGATGCCTAGATACAACTCGATAAAAAACTGACTAAACTAAAAGAATTCTCTATTTCAACTCTACATCACTCAATTCTTAACATCAGGTAATTTCACAACCGTAACGTGATGCCAGTAACAATTATGATGAGAAAGTCACGTGTTGCGATCACGACAGTAGCAACTGATTCGCACCATTTTTTTTAGAGGTTGGTATTCTCGACTAGGCTTGCAAAGGGGTCGACGAAGGATCAAGAGAGTTGTGTGTTGTTTGCGGATGGTATTTTTGCAGATCTTTGTCGCCTTGAAGCTTGCAGAGTTATTTATTATTTTTGTTACGCCATCTTTTCGTAGGAACCAATTCTACTCTATGCACCCCTTCGTTTTCAGGTGAGACAATTCAGATATTCTTGCAGGGGTAGCTTTTAGTGATTTCTGTACTTTTTTGGGAATCTTCCTGGATGCTACCAGGCTTCCGGTACCAGTCAGACTGTTGGTAAGGGATGGTGGATCTAGAATTAGAGGAACTGTATTAATACTGAACAATGCCTTGGTATAGTTTTTTAAAAATAATTTTAAAAAATTCAGGGTGCTCCGGTGGTAGGGTGAAAATGGGAATTGTCGACGAAGAAGTGGTTGCAAGGGTTTGGTAGGGGGTCGATTCTGGTAGGAGGCGCAAGTGCTCGGTAGCTGGTAGACAATATCGACCCTGGATATTGTTGATGCGAATGGTAACCATGGGTAACTTAAAACGGCTGGCCAATCGTCTGGCACGTGGTGGCCATCGTCGACCAATCAGGGATTGGTACGCTGCCGGTTTTTTGATTGGGCGATACCAGGGATAAGAGACCACTTCGTGGCGACCGGGAACGACAAACGGTCTTCGTTCGCGAACGCGAACGCATCTACAAGCTATAAAGGAAACATCCTCTGTTGTTTCCTACTTGTCGTCCTCGGAGTTCTTCGTCTTCTTCGTCGGATCCATTATACCCGAAACCCTTACGGAGGGCTCCACGAGCAAGTGGGCCCTCTGACTTTAATCTTCGAGTTTGAGTTTTTGACGCTTGATATCGAGTTTCATCTGCGATTCGCTGTGCCGTTTTTTTTTTTTTGGAAAAAAAAAACAAATTGAGAGGATTGGTCTACCTACGTGTATCAACATTGTAAGAATTTTCTTGTATGTTGTTTTTTCATCACTGATAAGATGTAATGCGACACGAATTGATATCATGCACCACTCTGCGATATTTATATGCACCAGATTTCTTGGTTTTGGCACAATCCCAGTTGGCAATTTTTTTTTTAATTATATTTTTTTCGCTTACCTTGAAATTCGTGCACCGTTGTACCATATGGATTCTTGGCACTGTACCATCTGTGATTGATCGGTATGAATCCCCTCTGTTTTCTAGGGACTTCCATACTTCATCATTTCACTGACAATAGATACAAAAAAATATCTTTAGACATGAATTTTACGTAGGGGCTAGATTAACGCCGAGTTTGTGTGCAAGAGAAGGATAAGTGATAAGCAAAAAAATGCAGAGGAAGCGACGCCGTGTCTTCCGTTTAGAATCTCATTTGGTCTATTTCTCGTTCGTTCCGCCAGATGGCAGCACCGTCGCTCGTAGCCACTCCAATGGCGGAGGGTTCGGCTACGTAAAGTGGATTACAGCTTATTCCTTAGTTTAACGCGCTTTTTTTTCCCCTAGTCAAGCGCATATTTTACATCGGATTTGTCCACGGGAACGCTTTAGTTGGTTCGAGTTCGGCGCAGTTCGTCTGTCTACGTCGTTTCTCATTTACTTAGTTTCTATATAAGAGAACGTCCTGTTGATCTATGTGTTTGCCCTCGTGAAAATTAAGTTATCTCATTATCGAATAACCAAAGGATACTACGCAGTAGTTTTCGAGATCGCGTGGCTTTCAGGCTATCTCCTTTTATCTGTGTAATAAAAATCTATCCTAGATCCGTTTACGTTACGGTCAGACAGGGTTGACGATGGGGTCGGTAAAAAAAATTACAACAGCAGCAACGTTAAGGGTGCATGGACGGTCATCTTGAGTTCGTGAACAAACAAGATAGTGGTCTCTTTTTGTCTCTTGTGGATTTTTGGATGTCGAACAGACTAACGAGATAAGTTGGGCAAAATCGATGATTGACAGGAAAGTTCAAGAGAGGTTAGAAAGTTTAAGCTTTACACTATGTTTTTATTTGGATCCATTTAATTCGTTCTCTCCTCCCTTATACATATGTCTCTCTCTTTCACTCTTTCGCAATCTTTCACTCATATGGTGTCTCTTGTTTTGTACGTTTTCAGAGTGGACAGCGACGGTCTTGGGCTCCGCAGAGTCAACAATCCTTCTAGTGCTATCTCGTTCGGCCACATCACGGCGGTAAGTTTATTTGACATATAATATATGTCCCGCTTACTTCCATTCCCCTTATACCTGTGAGGTATCAATAGAATCGTCTCTGAGTTGAACCCCCTACGGACTTAGCCTATTCAATTTCCGTTGATGAAGTGTCGGCTTTTTTGTGTGCTCGGTCGGCCATTAATTCTTCGGTGACTGCTAACTGCGCATGCGCACAAGTCACGTGATCCGTCGATCTTCTTTTTCTTTTTCGCACGGAACTACAATCCGGACTCTAGTATATCGATAACAATTATGTACATTGAAAATAACGAAATCGAATGGAGAAACAGTTGGCAACGCGTTAAACCGGTTTAGAATCAGCAGGGAAATACGCGATTCCCGATAAACGTAACGCGACCCATCCCAACGTATTACGAATCGGTTATATGGTGGTCATGTGTGCGCAGAAAGGTGTGCGCACTCGTAACAAGACCGTAACGTGTTATGCAATGAGTCATGGTTGTATTTATTCATATATATGTATATGTAATATATACTGAGAGACATCGACATCCAGCGAGTTTCCTTATATCCGCGCATGCTTCTCATTCCCTTTCGAATTCGCCATTCGCGATGGGAAAACGAGTTTCCGAAGGCGTCGCCATATAAATAGCTGCACTTGCATTATGGGATAGGTGCTTCGCGTTTCTAATTCTCTGAAATGCAAAAAAAGGATTAAAAAAAATACCAATGCCGAGTAGACTTCATAAATTAAAAAATATTCTTGTATTTATTTTATAGAGATATATACGTCATACCGTATTATACCGTCTAAGCAGTGGTTGTATATAGGTTTATTGTCAATTACGTATTTTTTCTATGGCACACATTTCATCATGCACCGTTGCCTTTGCGATGATCTTTATCCGTCATCTATCATTATTTAGCATGAACCCAATCATTATCTGGCCACTGATATCCGTGATTATGGTTGACGCATTGCCGCGCACGATTACCCTCCTCCTGTCGTGTTAAAATCTTTCCATATCTGCCTTGTAGATGTTATATATATATATATATATCTCTCTCTTTTTCCCTCTCTCTCGTATCACCTGCTCTCTTTGTCTCACTCTAGAACGTGCACGTGTAAATAGGATTCCTTCGTTTTCTGCGTATGACAAGAATCGATGTTATTGTTCGTATAGGCGGTTTCTCCGCTGGCCGTTACCTTAAACTTTGTGAAAGCATACAGTACGAAGCTGTATTAAAAATTCGTAGATTGAATATACAAATGAAGTGGAATAAACAAATAGAATTCTTCAAAGAACGTCAATTTGTGTCACGGCATCACGAAATCACGAAGGAATGACATTGTCCACGAACTACGTAATCCACACGATAGGAAAACTCGCATGAAAAATGGCGAAACGCGCCAAACGGAATGATGGACGTTGCGAAAGTCGGACGTAGATAGATGAACGTGGCACATAAGACACATGAATATTCAAACGACAAATAACCGTCCGTCCTTCTCTCCTTCAACTAGGAATGTACATTCATTTATTCATGCGCGCATCAAAAAGTCCACGCTCGTTATCGCAACAATTCTCGATACAGTTTCCATAACGTAGCGTTCGAATCTATCGACCCGTACATTTCGCGTGTGCACGCTATACGTTTACTGGGACTCTCTTTCCCTTCTTACCTAAAAGGAGTAGAAAAAAAAAAGAATTTAATCCAATTACGTAATGCGCTCGAGGGAAATGCGTATTGCCATAGTGTGTTTACAGCAGCCCCATGCTGCACCGTAACACGACGAATCCAAGTGGTGAGAGTGGATGATGTTCGGAACGTGTAGCTGAGGAGGTACTCTGGTGGGGATAGAGCGAACTATTTTGTAGTGGGGAAGATACCTGGTAGTGGGGATAATAAAGTGGACTGCGCATGCGCCTTGACGCAGGAATAAGGGTGAAGACTGGCACTCGCCTCAGTATCCACCCGACCATCAGCTGATCGATATACCTAGTACCCCGCGCGCCATAGTCACGCGTCACGCATGTCACGCACCACGGCAACGCGTTACGCGACCAGTACGAGTCCTGGGATCTTTTACACGTTTTCACAGTGCTTCACAAAGCTTAGTTAAGAGTTTTCGAGGCCGTTTGTAGCGATAGACAAGTGAACTGGACTCTTTTGTTCATACGTTGAGTCGCAGAGTGACGGATTTTTTTTACTTTCTCAGTATCGAGGTACGTTTGACTCCCCTTTTTTTGCTTTCTAGCATTTTTGTTTACTCTTTTTGTACATACAGACATATGCGTGGCCACTGTATGTTATCTTGGAACTTGGACTCTCTCCTTGGCTCAGCGTGGTGCTTTGATGTCGGTTTTGTTTTTCTTACTGTTTCTTTGGATCGTTCAATCGTGTTTGAAATTCCCTGTAAGATTAACCTTGAAATGTATCATACTACTCAAGGCTCTGACGCATTCTTATTGCTAGAGAATCGTTACCGCAGTGCAGCAATGCTCGCATGGATGTGAGCTCCAGTTTTATCACTGTGGTTGAGTGTGCGCTCTGGCGCGCATCGCCCCGGGAATATAACCAAAGAAATTGTAGCTTACATAGAAAGAGAGTCTTATTAAGATGAGATCTGTGTGATTATTGTACTGTGGTAAGACAGTTTGTTGTTGGTAAACGACGTAGAGTCTGCGTTTTCAGAGTCCCGTCAATGATTAAAAATCGTTTTGATATTTTGTCAAACACGCGTACATTGCTGTTTTTTTTTTTCGTAAAAATAAAAATAATTTCTGATCCTACGCCACAATACCACACGGAATTTTACATTGTTTCGTCGTCGTGTTTTTTTTTTATCCACGCCTTTGCTTTGTTCGACGCGTTTCTCTACGGCTCTTGACTCTTTCCGTCTCGGCTCGTTCCATTCCGTTTCGCATCCGTTCCGCAACGTTTACACACTTCCCCCCCTCCCGTGCGATACACAGCAGACGCACGACTGCCTATATCAGCGTATTACGAAAGCGTCGAACCTTGCGGATTCTGTCTACATTTTATTACAATCTTCTATTGTCGAGTCACAGTAGCACGCTGCGATCTGCCAACGACTGCGTTTCGTACGCGAATGAGCATGAGGACCACCGTGCTGCGTTACACGACCTGACACGATTCTACCCGAATTCGCACGAACCATCCGGATTATCGCCAATGAGATTTCGGCTGTTTTCGTATGAGTCAGGGCAGTCGTACGCAGGTTTTAGCAATTTTTATTGCTAATTTTGTTTGCAATCCTGTAGTTCTTTATTCTCGTGCTCTACCTAACGTCCGTCTGCGTTACACTTCAAGTCGAATTCTTTTATTGTTTATTGAAAATTGTTAAAATATGTTTAGTCTTACGTTGCACGTTTAGTCCACGTGTATGGTGTTAAAAGTTCTGGTGAATTTTGAAACTAATGAAATTGATTACATCCAATTATTCGCCTAGTTGCTTTTACGATGTACTGCTTGGAAACGATAACAAATCTCCATTTTTTGTTTATGATCAAAATCTTCCTCAAACCTTGGCGTTTAGACCTACATATAATAAATAGTCAGAAAGATATAAAATTAGAAGCAGAGAGTAGTAGCTAATAGTAGTGCTGTGAACTTTTAAAGTATCCCACGCGGCCCTTCGTGTAAACACGCCCAGAGAAACGGAGCGGCTAGTGTTAACTGTGACACTAGCATGATTATTTGTGCCAATAAATAAATGTATGTACGAGCATGGTGTTTTTGTTATGTGCAGGACGCACTCCCAGTCCATCCGGAAGGTTAGAGAAAAGCAAGCACCATTACAGGTGAGTAAGTTGAGATTCATTTTATAGCCGGTGATAATTTATTTTACAATTACCGCGCTTTTAGTATCTCCTCATCGCGGATTTCCGGTACGCAGTCTTAATTACACGATACACGTCTGCCGTTGTTTCTCTCTCGATTGAATCTAACGGAGCCCTTAGTGTGCCAGTGTAAAGGGGAAAAAAATACCTTACAATCGGAGTTCATCGGTTTCATCTTTTATCTACGTCCATATCTATATGTATACATTGGGTGCAACAATGCAATGGTGCATAGATAGACGGTTGCGCTGCGGCATCTGGAGTTGGCAGTGCTATCACGTTTCACGATGCATTTCTGCATTGTTGTGGCGCTCGATTATCGCAGTCAGTCACGTGCCAGCCAGAAACGTCAGGTCGACAATTTATAAATCTTTAATTTTTTTTTTTATTTTTTTGTCCGTTGAGAAAAATATTTAAAATACTTGCGAGACGTTGCGTGGCGCGGCACTGTCGGCCAATCAGCTGCGAGCCTGCGCAGTGATCCTGCGCGTTGAACGGAATTGCGGTGGATCATATCGGTCCCTTAGCTTGGCCGCGAGGGTCCTTGCTGACGATTGGATTGGTTAACCCGTGAGCGTCTGTAAAGGACAGAGTAGTGGTTTGACTGGTGTAACAGGACGTTACTCCCTGACTGGCTTGCATCGATGCAAGGGCAACCTTGTATTATTACCGAGAAAGCATAACCCAACCTCTAGCGTCTAACGTTCTCCGATGTCGTTGTCTAGTTTGATTTTGGATTTAATTTTGGACTTGGCTCTACGTTGATGAACTTGGCAGAAAAAAACATTTTATTTATCGAACGTCCAGAAATCTTTGAGCTTTGTTTCACGAGTAGTCATTGAATTCATAGAATTCTACATAGAATATGTAGAACGTTTAAAAGAGTGCCTTAACGAAAATGTTTTGTATCATCAAATTTGTTGGGACGCTTTTATGTATTTTTTTTTGACACTGTTCGCTATGCCTAATGAATGTTACGGTTGATTTTCTCTCAATCGCCGACCACTGGTCGCCGCGGAGGATTCGCAAAGTTGGCAACGATGCTCGGCGGTCAAGCGCGTCGTAGGACGAGTCTAGTCGGGGGTGGAGAGGGGGAGTATGGGGGTGGGGGTAGCGGGAATTCAGGGACTCGAAATTGGAACGGACGGTCAAAAACGGGCGGTAGTCTCGCACGAGAGTGACGCACACTGTTACGTTTCATTCGAGTGAATGAATCGAGTGGCGCGTCTTACGATTATTTGCCCGGAAGTCACGTTAAGACGAATCGCCGCGGAGGCACTGCCATCTCTCGGCCGTCACTGTAGACTCCGAATTCCTTCTTGCTACCGTCTCTAAATTTGAAGCCAACGGACAAATAAGAGGAAACGATAAATCGTCGGTCTCGGACGCGTTGCCTCTTTCTCGTAACATGGACGGTTCGTCGATATTTACCTTTGCATTTTGTTGTTGTTTTTTTTTTTTTATTTCTTTTTTTACCTAAACCAATTTTGTACCCTATATGTATATATATGTACTACAGCAATACTGTCCACGGTGTCACGTACCCAGAGGGATGTAAATACGTGACGGTGATAAACATAGGACACGTGCGTTTTAGGTATACTCCGTATGAGACTTGTTTACTCGGCGTACAAATTAGTTGGGATTTCGGCAAAGCCGGCACTCAAAATGTGCGCGCACGGCCACCAACGTTCGCGTAAACTGTTTCGATGGGCGCGCGACACTTGCCGTAACACGGAGAGCACGTTTATCTTTGCTCATCTCTCTTCCTGTCTGCCGGATTGTTAACATACGTGACTTTTACCTATATGATCTTTCTGATATGTACACTGACTGTTTGACCGATTTTTAGTGTCAGCACTTGGGAGTAATTTGGCGAACGTGACTGTGAATCTCAGGCAGATTTGTTGGGTGTTCGTTATTTCTTTTGGCCGCGATAAGGTAACGGGTGGGTGGGGAGAGCGGATAATTTTAGAAAATCTCAGTAGTACAAGGTTTCGGTACGTTTGGATCCGGAGACAAAAAATATCATATACCATGTTAGATGTACCTCATTTGTCTTTCATATTCGGAGGTTGTTGGTCAACTGGATTATTTTATTCTTTTTTCTTCCTGGTAATAATCGAGGATATCGAAAGTTTCAAGATGGACGACGTTCTCTGGCTGACTTTTTTTTTTCTCGGGAGACAGTATTGTTAGCATCCTTGAAACTTTTGGCCTTTGGAGTCACGGTTATTGGGTATTGAGATTATATTTCGAGTTCATAAGAAAATTTTTAAAAAATTTTTCTAAAAACAAAAAGATTCGACGTGATCAACAAAAGTTCTTTAGCCTGACTTTAATTCCCCTTTCTGTGTTAATGACGTTAATTGACATAAAGAAAGAAAAAAATTGTCGAAATTCAACATCCCTAGATGTTTGTATAAAAAGAAAAAAAAAAAGTAAAATAACGTGGCTCACAACGGGCCATCACCGTTATCGTTCTATTTGAGAAACCGAGAGAGCAAACACACTCGAGTATTAGCACGTGTTACCGTGACGTCATATGAGCCGAGAATCCCAGTCAGTTCGTCGTTTAGAGCCCCGACGGCTCTTAAACGGCAGTTCAACTCGTTATTCCCCTCTCTCTCTTTCTCTTTCTCGTCTTACACGGTGAACTATGGCCTCTCCCGTCTGTATACGCGACACAGTCTCGCAACCGCCGAGCGACAGTTTCTATTTCTAGTTTCCTAAGATTTCGCACTCCTTATGGCTCTTACCTTTACTTTTCCTTATCTCAGTATTTTCTATACTCTATGACCTCGTACCACAGTTCACTACCATGTCGCGTAATAAATATATTATACGAAATTTGCCATAATATTTGGAAATTGTAACGAGGTTAGATTTTGTTAATTTTTGTTTGCCCAAAAATAAAAACAAGAAAGTCGAAAACTGTCAGAAGTGTAAGAAATTCATTGTCACGAATTTGTAAATCTTTCTTGGACACGTATTAGTGTAATTTATTATTTTTAAGTGATTAACCAAAAAAAAGTTGATAGGTGGGGCTGACTCCACCGTCGCTCCAGGTCGATCAATACACCCGCCCTTCATTCTATACTACTCAGTTACCCGACACCGTAATCTCCCATGATACTTCCCCATGGCCTTATCTCTTGGAAGAGTTTCCTATCTGACTGGCCCCTCTATGTAGAGACTGGCTTCATGCCTCTGGCAACTGACGATTGTTCTTTATTTATTGCATACGTATTAACGTGCTTTGATCTGGTTCTTATTTATCTTCTTTCGCGTATCTGGATTTATTTCTCTGCTCGTCTTTGACGCCAAGTAATGCCCTCGTTGTTGCTTAATAGGCCTTATTGTATTAGACATTTTTGGTTTTCACTACGACAAACGTGAGTCAAGTCGACGCCATTTTCTCTCCTTTCCTTTGCTTCCACGCTCTCGTTATTGTTGATAACCAGAAACCTTTCTTTGGACTGACTCGGAGATTTGTCCAGAAACTGTAGGTTTACGCGCGGGTCGTATACCTGCTGAAAATTACGTCACAGTTGTTATTGTTTAGGTTTTCACGTAGACACAACAGCCTTTGTCTCCTCTCGGTGAGTTTTCCTTGCTTATAATCTGCTGCATCGCACACAGTTCTTTCTTTTCCACTCTAATTAAGGGCATCGACTGCTGAGGAATAATTAAATTAATTCTTATCTCAATTGTTTCCGGGGACAATGGTGTACCGTAGACTAGTCGCTCTGTTATGTTTTTCATTTATTTTTTTTTTGTTTTTGAGATTTTATTCAAATCACGATGCTTTTGGTTCTCTGACCTGCCAGTTTCCTTTCTATCGTAGTGCGTGTTTTATAGTCTATGGTCTAAACTAGTCGTATGCAGCAGGACTAAAGTACACTGAGCGTGCCATACAAGGTATTTTTTACTCTATGGCTGACCGAGCCACGACTCTCTGCCGCCTCACGCTACCCTTGCGAGTAGACACGGTGGCGCCCACCGGCGGTACTTAACCTAACCTGTAAATTTACCCTTTCCTTGCTTTTACTCCGTGACAGAGACACCTAACCCTACCCTCTGTATTCTGACAGCCACGCAACCCACTCAAAGTCTCGCTCTGTCATTTTGTCTGCTACGACGTCTCGCGTATGCTTTATCGTTGCTCAACCCTGCCGACTAGACCGGCTGTCGTGTCACGTTAGGGGTTGTCGTCACGCAAAGGGACGAAAGTACGGTATTTAGTTGAAACAAATTTTATTTTTTATTTTTCGTTAGGACAGGTTAGGTTATCTTCTTTTTGCTCGCTACTTTAAACCGTGTTTGTACTTTTTTTTTTTACGAATTAGGGTTGCTCGTTGCTCTTTGTTGAATCTTTACTGCGTACGCGTTTCTCTATTGAAAATTGTCCTTCTTTGTTTTGGCTTTTTGTTTATCCTCTTCTTTGCCACTCGAGCGACGAGTGGCAAAGAAATCTGGCCAAGACATGTCTTATTAGTCAGATTTACTTTAACACGCGTGTTCGTGCTATACCTCGGGTAGTTTGCATCGTTGAATACATTAGCCTGTTTTTCTTCATACCTTTGTTCTGGAACTTAAGGTGCGTAAATATGCTTCAGCGTATTCAGGCGTCTGCATTTCTTTGTTTTCACTGCGTTTCACGGCATTCTATTCTTTTCTCACTCTGTATACGTTTTCACTCGTTACACGAAGAGAAGCGACAGATTTTGTCGTCGTTCTCGTTGAGAATAAATGTCATCTAGTACACTGCTGCCTTATGCCAGATCCAATATTTTCAAGTCGTTGCAGTGTTCGATATTTGAATTTGCCGCTTCGTTTCGGAATTCCTTTTTTTACTCTTCCGTTCTTTGTCTTTCGTGCTTCTCCTTTTCTTTTCTCTCTGTCGTTTATTATTTCAAGAACGAACGTAATTTGTCAAACGACAAAGCCAGTTTCGCCGTTGTCGCCATTTTGCCTCGAGCCTGCGCGATCACGATGAATTCGCGCGTGCAATTTTCACATTGTCAGACGGCCATTTTACGGACGAAAGATTTCGCATCTGAAACCTCGATTGCTGGGCGCCATAATTCGTCGGCTAAATGACACGTTAATAATTGACCAACGCGATTAAAAGCGTCGCCGACGGTGCACTGGTGTCTCCCTTGTCTCCCTCGTTTCACCTCTTCGCTACCGCCGTAGATTTCGGCTTTCAATTTTTACGTAAGCTTACCTCGAGGAATATGAAAAAGTTTCGAGGAACCTACTGGAATCTCATTGCTCCGTCCTCGGGTATCTTACGAATTATATATTAACGAGCTCGGCAGCTTTCGAGGTTAGGTCATGGGTTTCCATGCTGTAGATACCACTGGTACACGGTGGCAATAGCGTAGATGATAATGAAGCACGAAACAAAGGGGTGCTTTACGGCATGAATAATGGCGTAGAGGATGTGACGTAGGTATACACCGGGGGTACGAAATGTGTGAAAGCCCCTCGTGCAGCCAACTGTATATCTATTTATTTATTTATTGTCAGCGGGCTTGAAAATTGGCTAGCTCGTAACGGCAGGGCATTTATATGAATATATATATATATACTTCTTTTTTATTTCCACGTTTCATATTTCTACAGGCGTATAAGGTCTGCTGGAGAAATTGGCATAAGGTTTTTCCACTGGCGATCCAGACCTTTTTAACAGCCCATGTGTATGTATACGTATATCTGCTTGAAAATTGTTCTCTCTATTATTTGTCGAATCCTCGCTATAAATAATTTACGTTGCATGTCTCTGCTGTTGCCGCGTACGCAGGCCGAAGGCTATCGAATACGCTTGGTTATCGCGTGCTCTTTTAATCCGCCTTTTAATCCCTTGCAATTTTTAGTTTAACCAGGCTCCGCTATACGCGCAGGTGTAAACGTTTCCTTGGATCAGTGCGTGAGCATCTTTTCGATCTTTTACGAATGGTCCTTTATTCTGAATCGATCAGATCGATCGTAGTACGGCTAGTTGGATTTCAAAGTATGGATTTCAATCTTTAGCCATAGTTTCGGAAACGCCATACTTTTCTCGTTTTACTTTTATCTCCACGTCGGATATGATAATTTAAATGTTTTTTTATCATTTGCTTTTATCTTCATTAGAAATCAATAACGATGAAAGAGTTCAATGTTGATTGATGTCTCTGGGTCTCGTCGACAGATGGCGCCAGCGTAGCGCTGAAAGCTCACAAGTACTGGTTTGACCAAGTTGTGTTGCGAACGCTTGTCGAGAACCCATTAAAACTAATTGTTCTAGTTTAGCTTTTTTTCTCTCCTTGCCTTTATTATCGTTGTCCTTTGTTTTCTATGTCATTTTCTAGTCGTCGCGCCGCGGCGACTTGACGACGCGTAGGCGTGTACGTCGCGGGCGACCCAATTTTTCAGCTTCTTTCATTGGATGACATCGTTGCTCATGATAATCGCGATTGAAAATATTCGCCATTTTGCATCTGTAAACATTTTTTTTCTTCAATTTCCTTCACTCCCCCCCTCTCTCTCCCCCCTCTCTCTCTCTACAACCCCCCTCCCCCCTGCCCATTTCTATGGCGTTTGTGCACACCCAGCAGGTATATGTATGTGTATACATATATGCTGTGTGAATCAGTCGTCTTCTTGGAAACTTTACCAGCCATACTTAAGGTGTATTCAACTCATACTGTAAAATTTACTATTTACCTCAAATATACCTTGCTGGACGTTTCTTCGTGAACTACCTGTACATCCGTATATGCACCTCTTCGTAGACACTTATCTTACCGATCATCCTCGTCCGTGATATCTGGCTGGTTTTCATTGTCAGTATCGCAACGGCACTTGTTTTGTATTCCACCAGCATCTTGAGTTTCGCATATGCCAAACACGTCAATGCCTTGTGCGCTTAACGCTGGTCGCCATCGCCATTTTTCTCTGACCCCCTTTTTTTTCTTTCTCTCTTTGTTCTTTTATCGTCTCGCTTCATCATCAGTTCATCACTATCATTATTATTACTCGCTGTACACTTTGGTATCATTTTCTTCGGAAGTTCAGCACGTGAGACTCGTCCACGTGGTCACTCTTTGAATTTTGACGATACGACGATTGTTGGTGATAGCAAAAAATAATATCGTTTTATGGAATACAATTGTTTGGTCTAGTATGAAAAGTTGTTTGGGGTTCATTGCCTCTTGCAATGCCCCAAGTGAATGACGATTGTATGTATGGTGGCCACACAAGTAGCACTGGTTGGTACGTTACGTTAGACTGTTAGTAGCTGCTGCCTCTGTTACCAGTATCGTAACGAAGCTTCTCATTAAGTAGGCTAGACGATATGTTAAGACAGCAGCGAGTAGTTCGCAGTACGTAGGTAGTATAGTCAGTATAGAGGGACTCGTGTCAGCAAGTGGTACGTGCAGTGTCCGTATAGGTGGCACTCGAGACTGTCGCTCGAGCGGCGTCCGCGTTTCCTTGAAGGAGACGCGAAATAAAAGGAATGAAGAGAGACACAGGTTAGAGAGGGACTACGGGCAAGCAGAATGAGGAGAGCTGGAGAGTAGCCACGGACTTGTCATATGAAATACATATGCGGCGTTTCTACCTGCTTTTCTTCTCTTTCTTTCTTTCAAGTAACGAAGCTTTTCGTTGTTTCAGGAATAATGAAGAGGGAGGCCGACGGTGGCGCCATGACTGGCTGCGGCGGTCCCACGAGTCCGCACAAACGTTATCGTCAGGGAGACGATGAACTTCGACTTCTCATACCCAGCAAAGTAAGTTTTTTTTTCTTTTTTCCCAATATTTTGAAATGTATATTACCGTATGTCACGTCCCAAGTTGAAAACCTGATGTTGCTCCGATCGAAAACGAATAATAATAATCCCATCCGCCGAATGAATTATCCTTCCGTACGGTAAGAAGTTTTAACTAGTTTTCGATCGCGGCAACTTCAGGTGTCATACTTAGGATGGGACATACGTTATATATACATATATATGTCGTTTATTTGATTAGTTAGGTTAGGTTCTTCATTGACACTTTTTTTTACCTACTGCTCGAGCCTCACTGCTGCCCTCTAGCGGTCACTCGCGTAAAACACTCCATGGCTTAGAGCCGACCCTATACAGAGTGGAAACTCAATTTGTGAAAATCATATTTCTTCTATGACCATATTTTTTGCCGTTGACCCGTAGAACGTCGTGCCGTGAAAATTACGTGTGCCGGTCTCGTGCGGATTCACCGGAAACTTGTGTGTCTGTGTTGTTACGTAACACGCGGATACCGTTTCTTTCCAACGAGAGTTACTTCCGGTTATCGTGAACTCGCCTTGTCCGATCTTTCTCTCCGTCACTCTCGCGGTGCTTCTTTCTTGATTTATCCTTTCGTCTTTTTCTATCTTTTCGGATATTCCTTTTCGCTTACTTTCCTTTCCTCTCGTGTTGACGTGAAATCTCGTTATCGCTTTAGTCTCTTTTTCATTGGTTAATTTTACTCCCGAAAACTACTTAGCCACGTGACGTACCTGCTGCCTCCAGGAGTATTTCACCGCGTTTCCATTGTTTCCATTTTTCTTTGACTAGAGGAATACGAGTGAGTCGCTATCCCCGAGACGATCCTGCATTGTTGGTTATTATTATCCCTTTGTCATTGTCGTCACATCGCCCGATTGTCTCATTAATTATGTTTAACAAGCATTTGATTATTTACAATATCCTTTGCTTTTCGCACTGTTTATGCTCAGCAATGTGAATTGTTTTTTTTATTTTTTTATTTTTTCGCGTCTATCCTTATTAGTAAAGATAAGGTCTCAGATGGCGTTACTCGTTCTTGTTTTACCGCGACGATCGGCGTCGCTGCGGTTATTCAATTAAGGATCGCCTTAACGGTTTGTGATTTCGTACGCTCGAGCGATTCCCATCAGTAAACTAAGTGCGCCAAAGCGCAGTTACTATGACGTGCACTGATCTTGCACTGTCGTTTGACTTTTATTTGTACTGTGAACTCGCCCTAACGATTTACGGTTCATCGTTTTCGACGATGTTTTTTTTTTTCGTTCTAGTCTACACCGTCGACAATTTTTTTTTCACAAATCTTATCCATTGGTTCTCTTTGCACAGACTTCATCCGATAACTCCGCATCGACACACGTTACCTGCATAGATTATAGAATAAATGATTCTAGTTTACTAGCACATGCTGCGTTTTTTCTTCCCATAACGCGATAACGTTGCTAATAAAATATGCGATTCGTCGACAGTATCTGTCGCACATGAGAACGCGCTGTAACGAGTGGCCACGAATAATATATGTATATGGCGTCCGACCAATATAATATATACGTTACCATTGATTCCGACAATTAAAAAATTCTCGGCGTTCGCATTGTCGCACGTGCTTCGGCTCTTTTCCTTTTTCTTTATTTCCTTTCTCGATGCCATCCGAAGGCCGCGACGCCTTTTGATGAGTTGCGCGTCGGGAATCGCTGGATTGCGTACTGCGCCTTAAAGTCGGGCGCGTACGCATTTCTGGGCGATGTCGGCGAGCGTGTCTCGTGTTGCGAAAGACTGTTCGAAGTGAATTTCATTAACGAGCCTTCGCGCGGTCCGGTTAGGCTCAGGGCGGGTTCGCAAGTATCGAGGGTCACGACGTCGCTGACGCTCCTGCGCGTACCACTCGCTGAATTTATTCGAAATTTTTTCCACGTTTCATTTTTTCCCCCTTTTTACCATATTCAATGGATGACTGAGAATTCAGTAGAGCGCGAGGCCTAATTTTAGTGGCGGGAATCTTGAAATTTATGTGACGCTCGACGCTTTTGCAATTTGTCGCTTGACGTGCAGCGACGCTTATCTGTGACACGCTATAGAGCAGTGGTTGTGTATGCGTTTTTTTTTTTTTTTTTTTAATGCATTTTACTTTGCCCGACGATAAGATCCGACTGATATCGTTCACGCGTCGATTCGTCGTATGGCTTGCGTTTGGAGTTTTTTTTTTCTTTTTGAATTTCATGTGTCCTTAGAAACGAAAGCAAAGGTGCGCATGCGCGAATTTTTCTGTTGCAGGTTGCCGGCTCGATAATCGGCAAGGGTGGTCAGAACATCACCAAGCTGCGAAGTCAGGTGAGTCGATCGCGTTCTGAAATACATAGATTATTAGGAAACAGGAGAAAGGACTGTAAATCGAAAAAGAAAAAAAGAAAAAAAAACGGATTAACGACTTTTCGTTATTCCTCTCGATCCAACACTTTTTGCCGGTCGACGAATATTGAGAATAGAATCGATCGGCGGTCGTCACGATTGACATTAAATTGACGTTTCGTTGTTGAAACGAAACTTTTTTTTTATAATTTATAAAATAGAAACATTTTTTTTACATTCCCCTATCGCCGTCGATCGATTCTCAAATATTCGCATCCTCTCGGCCTCTGATCGGCATCGATCGGTAAACGTTCTCGTAGACACTTACAGCTAAACTAGTAGTTTCGCCTTAATACCTTCCTTTTCGTTTGGTTTATTCGTTTGGTTCTGCTATTCGGTAGGCGCCGTCCCCTTTTCTGTGGATCACGCGAGAGGCTCTGTGTGTCTCTTGTCAAACTAGAAAAAAAAAACAATTTGTCATTTATTCTGCTCGCACACTTTTTGACTTCGTTATTTTTTTTGACTCGTCCACTACTCTTGAATATATTTTTTTTAATCCGTCGCTATTTCAAGATAATCGCTAGTGGATGACGACTCTCCTTAATTATTGTCGTCGCTTCACCAATACTTTGACACTTTACGTTTAACGTGTCGCTGACGGGGTATCCGTGATAATAATAATAGTGACAATAAACAAGAAGCGACCACCGGGACTTTTTCACAATGAAACTCCAAATCCTGCTGCAGGTTCGATGTCCATTGACGAGCCGTTAAAAAAAGAAAGATGGATGCACCCAAAGATCCCTTGCAAATAGGACGTTCGACACGTGTTGCCCGGCATTGTTGCTGTTATTGTTATTAGCAATATTGGGGGCGATCATTTCCAATTGGAATGCGTCTATTCACTGCGCTCCGCTAACAGCTAGAACGGGAGCCCAATTGAACCGAATGGCATTTTCTTTTACGAAGGGCGCGAGTGCGCATGCGCGACGCGAAGTGCAAAACGCAGTTGCCAGTGACGTAATGCAACGTGAGACAGAGGATAAACATTAATCAGGTCCAGAGGAGGATGGTGCACGGAGGGTTAAGAGAAAAGAAAAAAGTTTTTTTTTTTCTAAAATCGGTAAAAGAATTAATAAGGGGCTGACGACTGAAATTTTGCAATCGATACTGTATCGATATCGAACTTACAATTTTTGTATCTTCCTCGGGCATCTTATTCTCTCGCTATTGACCGAGATCGATTAGTATCGATTTTCTTGCTCGCGTATCGATCTTTTCTTTTATTCGATCCTGCGGCCCGCGTGTCGATTATAATAGACGTCTCTCTGTCCGTTCGATTGAAATCGCGAAAACGTTCGTTTTATTGTGTCAGGTCGAAGTTGGTGTGAGTAGTTTTGGGTGGGTGGGTGAAGGGGGAGGTGTAATTGACAATTTACATATTGACATTTTAATCATACCACTCCTCGTATCTCGTACGTGTAATTTATTGCAGAATATATTACATTTATCGATTATCGATTATCGCGAATACTTGGATCACGCGATTACGCATTACGATAATAGAAGGAGCTTCCTTTTGGCTTTAACGACGCGCACCTGTCACACGTATTCAACGTGTCTCTCGATTCACTCGATTATCTTAATCTTTCACTGAATCCTCTGGCTCCGCTACCGTTGCTCGCACAGAGAACTCGCGATCGACGATATATTTTTTTTTTCACGTAATTTACGTAACGTACGATGCGCTATCGATCGGTATTCAAAAGTGTTCTCTGTACCCACTTCGATTTGGTATAAGAAAAAAAAGAAAAAAAAAAGTGAGGTTGACCTCTTCCCAGCCGAATACGGTATTATAAATTAAACACGTGATAATAATTGACCTAGCACACTCCCCCCCCTCCCTCGACCCCACCCATCTAGTCCCACCCCTTGTCCAGGTGAACCCGAAGCGAATTTTTAATGCAAACCTACGTAACAGGATTTTGCATTGCAAATTGTTCATGCGATTTTTTTGTTGTTGTGGGTTGATCTATCACAATGTAGTAGGTTTCTTTGGTGCAACATTTTTTAGTGGAAGTCTTTTTTTTTTTTTAATTTTTTAAAAACAAACGGTCATGGTCTGATGATAGAGATAGCAATGCGTTTACTTCGTGGAACGAGGATGAGTGGGAGTACATCTTGCCAGGGAGATGAGATAACTCGAGACGTTGCTAGTTTGGGAATGAGGAGGAGACACGAAGCAGGGATGCGATTGGTCTGATGGTCGATTTGGGCTCGCGATCTAGATAATTATTTGTCACGTAGATTAATATCGGAGTGTTGGAAGGTTTTGATTTGAGAATCATCAGCCTTTGGTCTGACGTTGAGGTGGGGCGGTGAAGAAGGGGTGTCGCAGGATCAAGAAAAGAGAGAAGGGAGGAGGAGAATCGATACGGAAGTATGATTGACGAGACAAAAAAATTTGAGAAAATTTGCAGAAAAAAAAAAAATTAGAACCTTAAGGAAGATTCAAGGCAAAAAGGAAGGTAGAGAAGGATATTTTTGTATAATTAGACCGAAGGAAAGGAAGGTAGGTTACGATATGGGTTTCTTTTGTCTTTTTTTTTTTCTTTTTTCCTTTTTCTTTTTTCTTTTGGACAAATCCAAATATTTATCGTAAGGGGGTAATTAAAGTTTCATTCATAAAAAATCCACGTGAGGTTTATCGTGGGAAAATGGAGGGGGGGAGGGGGGAGGAGACAAGATCGATATCGTCAACGAGGTGGGTACTTCCATGGGTACAGCGAAGAACAAAAAGAATGAAATAAATAAATAAATAAGAAAAGACAAATCATTGAATGAAACAAGAGGTCTAACTTGGTTGATGGTTTGTGCCCTGGCCCCGCCCTGACCCTGGCGTTGACCCCCTGGTGTGTTGCCCTGGCGTTGCCCCGGCGTTGTCCTGGCGTTGCCCCGTCGTTGTCCTGCCGTTGCCCTGCCGTTGCCCTGCCCGGAATCGACGGAACCCGACTCTGATCGGATATTGGACCAACCACCAACCCTCCGACAATCGGCAATCAACCAACCAACCAACCACCAACTACCACCACAACCACCAATGAACCAACCACCAACCATCACGGCCCGACAGTACAAAGCCTCAATCATTGTACCCGATTGCCCCGGACCCGAACGGTAATGCCAACACCACTACTTAATGTCTAATTCTTTGTTTTCTAATTACGATACGCATCATTACTACGCATCATCCATATTTCACTACGCATCGTCGATTATCCACGTATGTGCAGGGTGTTTCAGCCAACGTGCCGGATTTTCTATCTTTTTTTTTCTTTTTTTTTTTTAAATTATTTTTCTGTTTTGGGGTTGCGTCAATACATGGGATTAAGAGCCTCGAACGGGGAATCTGCATGTTGGATGAAACAAACTGTATATATGTATATCTATATATAGGGAGTACGAGTACACAGGTTTTTTTTATATATATATGTATATGCGTTTGCTAAAGAGATACTTTGGGGACACGAAAAATCAAGGGGCGTTCGCAATGCGAGCTAATGTTTTTTTTTTTTTAACTTTTATCTTGGGACATCACGGCATTGGAGTTCTGACCTAATTTAACCTGACGACACCTTTCTATCAATAAGCCCATCATAAATACTGGATGCCTAACATTGAAAAGAATATTTAAAGATTTTATGAGACAGTCCGCTTTATGGTCCTCAATACATTCATTACGCTGAAAAACTTTGAGGACGGTCCACAAAACCAGCCAGTTGTCTTCCAAATAGCGACTTCGTAAATGAAATCGTCCCCAAAGTATCCCCCAGCAAAGAATATATTTATACATGTTCACGTATTGTTCACGCCGTCAATGATTGGCATGTTCTTCTCACCCTTGTTATATCATCACTCATTATCATATCACTATATACTTATGCAAACTTTTGTCTCTGTCCCGTCGTCATACGATTGTTATACATATATACATATGTACAACATATATGTGTATATATATATATATATATATATATCGTTTCTATTCTACTTTCCTTTATTTATCTTGTCTGTCAATCTCTGAGATACATGTGTTCTTATCTGGCTATCTGTCCGCTTATCCGTTTGTCTCATTATCCAAGTTTTATCGATTCTTCTTCGATCCTCTGTCTCATTCTGTATCACTACTTGTCTACTTTTCCTTCTCTCTTCACTCGTCCACTTTCACACTTATCTGGATAGCTCTCCTCCTATCGCTTCGACTCTCATTAATATCCACGCTTCATTTCCAGTAATCGTACTGATGAAAAATGGTGTGGAGGAGGAAGAGGAGGAGGGGGAGGAGGGGG